TCCTCCACCTCCTCCTTCTTCTAGTCCTCTTCCAACTACTCCTCCTCCACCTCCTCCTCCTCCAAGTCCTCCTCCACCTCCTCCTCCAGCTCCTCCTCCTCCTCCTCCACCTCCTTCTCCTCCACCTTCTCCTCCAGTTACAAAAGCATCAGGACTATAGGTGGTTACAATCCTCTTTCTTAAAAAATGAAATTTGTCTTTTTCAAAATCTTATTTAGAAAGTTGACTTTATTTAAAAAGTAGTACGTCCCATGGTACAAAATTCTAGACATAGATTTAAAAATAGCACAAACAAGAATATAAATACCCACTTTTCCTACGTGCATCATTTGTGCATTTGTTGTCTTTTCCTAGGTTCGCATTTTTCTTCGTCATCCAATGTGATTCATACTTACAGTAAAAACATTTCAAGTGCCATAGACAGCTCTAAGGCAAAAGTAAAAATTCCCTTCTCTCCATCCCTTCCGCAGATACGGGTGAACATCCTTCCAAACTTTCAACCGCATGGATATATGTTGTTTTTATATGAACGCTTTCTCTGTTACTCATGCTATTCTGTAACTTGCTTTCTTCGCCGAACACTGTCATGGAAATCTTTCATGATAACACATTTAGAGCTACTTCTTTCTTGTTAATGGTTGTACTGTATTTCTTGATGTATTGACATCTATTTAGCCAGTTCCCTCATGATGGCTATTTAAGGCATTTCCAACATTTTATTAATAAAAATACAACGCTGTAAGAAAATGTTGATAGCTTATTTTGACAAATGCAGTCATTATATTAGCTTGCACATCCTTATATCCGTCTCCTCCTTATGCTCTGGTCTCTGTACAGCTTGCCCTTTATTTCACACCTGTGCACTTGTGCTTTTGAACAACTGGTGGGGATTAGAGTTTTCCATGAATACTTGGCTTTGATTACCCTGTTCCTAAATGTGCCATTGCTTTTGTCTAGTTAAAAAAAAATTCTGTGTCCTTTATTGATCTTCAGTAAACAATAGAAATGACTACTTTAAAGTGGGTACATGTTTTCCAGGTTAGGTAAGCATTTCAATTAGGGGAATAAATACCTTTAAATTGGGAGTGTGGCTATTTCTTGTTTGGGGAGTGTGTTCTTTAGTGAACTGAATCTTGGATTGCTGGTGTTACAAGGAGTGTGTAATGAATTTCTGGGCTGTAAGTCTGAAGTCTTCACCCTATACTAAGAGGCAGAGGAAATTTCCAAAGTTTTAATCGTAGCAATACAACGCAGTGAAATAGAAGAGGGGGTGCCGTGAAGAATAGATACTTGCTTTTGTTGTGAGCTTATGAGTGAATCCCAAGATCCCAGGCCTCCTGCAGCTTGTTGCCAAGGTTTTCAAGTATCCCTTTTAAAGATTAAAAAGAATTAAAGATTCCCATGTGACTACACTTATCATTTACCTATTCAATATACAGATAATGAAGGAACCCATAAGATGCTCTCATCTACTTTAATAACTGTGTTGTCCTTGATGGGTGTCTGACTCAGACAGATTGGGAATTACTAGCTTAAGGCACAATCTCTCCTTAATTTTGTCTCAGGCCTTGGTAAAACTTAACTAAGTTCACATCTTTTTAGTTAAAAAAATTTCCCTCCATAGTCTCCAAGCTGCCTTTAATAACAGAGTCTTCCTCAGCTTCCTTAATTATTCTTATCAGACCTTCTAAGAAGCAGCTTGCTAACACTGAATGCCAAAAGCAGCTTGTTGGAGGAGAACTGATGCAGGGAGGGGGAAAAAGAGTCCTGCAAAAATATTTTTCCTTCATAATTGGAAGGGGAAGAGGGAAAGTGAACAAGGGATGGAAACAAACCAATAAATACAATGCAGATAGTTTCATAGAGAGTTATTTATATTTTGGCTAGCCTCTCTATCTACTACGATCCCGTTTTCTGTTTTAGAGAAAACTATCATGCTGCTAATAGCAGTTTTTCCTCAAAAGAAATTAACATCCTAAGATATTTGGTAATGCTTGCTCTAATACTGCTGTACCGATCCACATCATAGAAAGCCACCCAGAGGAGCAGTCTGCTTGCACACAGCCTTCAGGCTGTCTTCCCAGCCTTCGGAGCTTAGCCTCCATCTGAATGCTGCCATTAAAGATGTTGCCGGCACACCCGGGAGTGTGACTCTGGGCTGACTTAAAGCTCTTCTCTTACAGTCCTTTTCCTTTGGCACCGGCAGAGAGACGCACTGTCATCTGGCTGAGGAACGACTTCCATTCCATCACGTATTTCGGGTTTGCTGGACTGGCGCTCAGCGTATTTCTGGAATGTGTTGGAATGCAATGGAAAGATTAGTCCAAGTTTCATTCCACTGAATCCTCCTCCCTACCCTCAGGCTATTGTTTCTAGTTGCCGGGTATCTTCCAGACTGAAACTGAAGGTCTGGTTGATCCCAGCCCTAAAGTTACATTTTAACTTTAGCTCTTATAATAGGCACTAGTGTGATGTTTCATCATCTAACAAGGAACTCCAACCCACTCTTTTATGTGTAGATAAGAAGCTTCTTGTGAAGGGATGTCCAGCCAAGTGTCCCAAGCTGAACAGCAGCATATCTCAAATTTATCCTCCACGTGAGGAGGAAAAATTATTAATGAATGGATTAAAGAATTATTAACGAAAGGATGAATGAATCATTAATGAATCATTAACTTTCCTGAATAGTCAAATCAGCAAACAAAGATGATAAGCATCTCAAAGTAAAGCTAGTGGTTTTATGCACCCTTCCCTTTAAGCCTGTAGTCACATCTGTTTTTGTAAAGGCCTGTGAATGTCCCTCCTTTGGCCGCTGACTGAAATATTCCTACACATTGACTATTTCAGTTCAGTGGTTCCACGTACATTTAGCTGTACATTCCTGGTCCTGGGCCAAACCCAACCAAATACTGACACGTGTACAAGAGCCTAATTAGTATCTCAGAGGGAGACATTCCTATCATTAACATTACAGCTAAACTAGCAGAGGGAAGGGAATTCATTTAAGGGAAAGGCTGCTTCCAATAAATGGTGGGATTTATCACTTTCATTTTTCTGTGAGAGGGTAGTAGCCACAGGCATCTGAGAAATTTTTTTTCTGCCCACAGAAAAATAAGTTTAGGTTAAAATCAGAAACATAATTTCTTATTTTTCTCTTCCTGGTTAAATGTTACTAAGATCCAAGGTAATGAAAGACTCAAAGAACCGATCTTTGGATTCCCAGTAAGCGCCTACATTTCAGAATTCAGCCCTAAGGCTGATTATAAATATAGCTTAGATTAGATATAGGTTAGATGATAAATATAGCTGTCCCTTGAACAATGTGGGGGGTCAGGGCGCAGACCCTCTGCGCAGCTGAAAACCTGTGCATGACGTATAGTTTGCCCTCCATGTATGTGATTCCTCACTTCAGATTGTGTAGTACTGTAGAATTTCCTACTAAAAAAGAAATCCACGTATCAGTGGACCTGTGCACGTCAAACATGTTGTTCAAGGGTCAACTGTATTTTTCATTTGTCTATGTTTTATACAGCAAGTTAAATATTTGCTTTCCATCCTGTACTGATAGCAAAAGCATGGGTCCTAAGTAGATAGAACAAAAAGGCAGATACTTTCCGCAGAAAGAGAGGTGAATGACCTCTGGTCCAACCCTCTTATTTTCCAGATGAGGAAAGATGCTGTTCTCTGAGGTTCAAGGAACTCCCTGAGGCATCTAAGAACAGACAGCACTGACAAGACGGGAGGAGCTTTTAATCTCTAGCTGTGAGGGAGCTAAGCATTGTTTTCCATAATACTGAATGGAGACAAAAATGTGGTGGCCACAGAGGACTCAGCACTATCTTTCTATATAGGCTGGTGCCTCAGCTTAGCCAGAGTGCCACAGGCTGACTTCAGCCCCTGCAGGAAGCAAGACATTCAGGCCATCCATGCACTTGTTCCATCCAACCAAGCAGGACGGATGCTCGGGACTGACCTGCAGGACACTGTAATAGTAGCAGTAAAGCCGGTGGGGCTGGAGCAGCTCCCTCGCAGTCAACTGCCCTTCCTTGGCAATCTTCTCTGCTTCTTCATCATTTTCCTGAAAGGTTTAAAAAGAAACAATGAATGGAAATTCCTTCTGTGACCCCCAAAGAAAGCGTAGTGTGAGTGTGAGTAGGACAGATGGAGGGTTGATTGCGAACAGCACGGGAGAGGTGCAACATGATGAAAACATAACTTAAGAACCAGGCTAGGGGAAGTTGCTATCAAGTGGTACCTGTGAAAGACTGTGATTGCTGTAATCAAAAAGCCAGTTATTAGTTGTTCCTAATTATGCTTTTTAAAAATCGCTACTATTCTATCATGCTGCCCACAGGAAAAGCCATATGCAAGCAGTTCTGACCCTTTATAAAGGGTCACTGGAATATTTCTGCCTCAGGCACCCAGTTATTTCCATGGCCATATGGCTTCTCGGAAACAGAATAAAGTTTTACAATGGAAGGGTCAATTTTATAATTTCACCAAAAAACCCCACAAATTCTTTTAATACTTTTCCTTAAAAAAAAGAATTCTTGTTTTATGAGAAACTCATGATTTTTGGGATGTTGTACAGCATGACTTCATTGAGAACTTGTGCCTTTTTTCCTGACTGGGGAAAAGAAAAGGGTAACATAATTGCTTTAAATGTTTTTTTGTGCGTAAAGCACTTTAACCTTTTCTCTTCAACCTGTAATTTGCACTTGGTATGTTCTTGCCTGGTGTGTGTGCATGAATAGTCATCCCTTTAAAAAAAATCTTTATTCTATGTAACAACTGGACTTAACATCTTCTAAAAATCCTCAAAAATATTGATAGAGAGTATTCAAAATTGTCCTGATGATGATTCTCCAGATATTTCAAGGGAACAAAAATTTCACAAAATAACGTTTCTTTTGACTAAATTATGTCAGATTAAATTGTGTCATGATGGAACTCATGTATTTGTTACTGCCTAAAGAAGCTAAAAGTGCAGAAAGCATACCTTGGCCCATTCAACTTTCTCTAGTAGATCACTAAGATTTCTTTTAATTGGAACATAATGTTTCCAAGGCTTTAATGCCGTATAGAAATGTTCATAATATGGCGAGTCCTGCTTCAGAACCAGACTGTCACCCAGCATGAGATATGGGTACCTATAAGCAGCCACGGTCCCATCCACATTCACTTGATACTTGTACTAAAAGATTAAAACAAACATAAACAAAAATTTTAACAGTCACTTGCTTCACTTCTTCTTCTTGTCAACATCGTAATACTTAAATATAAAATAATAATAATATATTAATTAATAAAATAATATTCACAATAATTAATTATAATAAAATAAATTATTTTCCATTTTTACAAGTTTTATATTTTATTTTGTAACACACATCTCTTTGTACTACAATCGTTACTGGCATTTAGCAGGTCAATTATAATAATTAATATTTATAATATAATAATTAATAATAAAATAAAATTATTTTCCACTTTCCAACTTTAGTATTTATAAATTTTATATATTATTTTATAACACACATCTCTTTGTATTATAATCATTAGCAGCATTTAGCAGGTCAATTTTAAGAAATATAACAAATTTAAAGACAAGATGATAAATAATTTTAGGAAGTAGTAATACCTATTTCAAATATGTCTATGGAATGGAGAACTTAGATTTCTGTAACCAGGTAAGAAAACTATTTTCCAAAGCTCTATATTTATTAAAGCTTAATGTTGACAACAGTTTATACACTTTCATTTATACATTATTTCATTTGTTCCTTACACCCATGTAGGTATGAAAAAGGAAGGCATTGTCTCAAAGTTCAGCTTTAGAGTTGAGGAGAAAACAATCAGGAGAAGACTGAGGACTGATGTGATGCTGGTGACATAGTATGTCTACTGCTGACGTGTTTGTTGGGTGAATAAACTTTGATTTACATGTCAAAATCACTTTTCATTCAATTATAATAATGTGAAGCCATTATTATCCCTCCCCCCTTTTCTTAACAAATGATAAAACTTGTTTTGAAGATGTTTTTGATGTCCTCTTTTACATCTTCATGTTTACTGCAACTCATTGTAGTTACCACATTTCCACTTAAGGGTTTCTCCTTTCTGTAGTGTCCTGCTTCTTTTCTATTCAGAGTTGAACTTTCAATATTTCTTTTAGCATAGGTTTAGTATTGCTGAATTTTTTTAGTTTTTGCTTGTCTGGGAAATTCTTTATCTTTCCTTCTGTTCTAAAGGATAGCCTTGCCGGATAGAGTGTCCTAGGCTGCAGCTTGTTCTCACTCAGGACTTGGAATATATCTTGCCACTCCCTTCTGGCCTATAGTATTTGTGTTGAGAAATCAGCTGAGAGCCTTATGGGGGTTCCCTTGTAACTCACTCTTTGCTTTTCTCTTGCTGCCTTTAGAATCATTTCTTTATCCTTGACTCTGGCCATCTTGATTATGATATGTCTTGGTGTGGGTCTGTTTGGGTTCTTCCTGTTTGGGACCCTATGTGCTTCCTGTACTTGGATATCTGATTCCTTCTTTAGTTTTGGGAAGATTTCAGTCATGATTTCTTCAAATACCTTTTCAATTCCCTTTGTTCTTTCTTCCCCTTCTGGATCCCCTATTATGTGTAGATTGGCATGCTTTACATTATCCCATAGGTCTCTTATATTGCTTTCATTGGTTTCAGAGATACTTCTAAACCTCTGTTCTCTGAGTTCAAATCCTATGCTTTATTCATTATATCACACTGAGAGGAACAGGATTTACTCACAGATTTGGTAATTATTTTTTTCTTAAATAATTGGTACCAAGGAGTTTGCCAGCCAACAGATTTTGTCACATAGTTCACATCTCTGTCTCCTTTGAACCTCATACACGCTCTGAAGAAGCCAGGCAGTTGTCACATGTATTTAGAGGCTAGAGGCACCAAGAGATGAAGTCCTTAAGTTATCCAGCAGAAGCAGGACTGGAGGCAGAACTTGAACCCCAATTGACTTGTATGCAATTTATATTCTTTTTATATTAAAAAATTTATATCCCCAGTTTATTAAAACACATCCAGAAAAGAGGAAAATAGAAAAATATACCAAAATCCTAGTTTAATCCTTGTACTATATTTTGAGTATTGAATACGATTCTGAGCTATGTGTGGTAAACAAAGTTAACAACAACAACAAAAAAGAAACCACGTGAGTTTTGTAATTCCCTATGCCTGATAAGAAAGTGCATGTCAGGTCACAAGATAGGAGATATTTGCCCAAGCCCAGCTACTTGGTTGACTTTTACCACAAGTTTATCACTTCATATCTATCCAGGAAGACTCAAATGCATACCTTAAAGAAGTCAAAGAAACCTATCAACTTAGCTTTTCCAAGCTCCTTTTCTTTCTCTTGGAAGAAGAAATATCCTGTAATTCCTGCATCTAGTAGCTGGGGGTTTTCCTTGGACAGCTGCACCAGCTGGAGCCTCTCCTCTCGGCTGTCTCTACCTCTGAAGAAAGCTTTCTCTGTTTTATTGATCCAGGAAGGCCCTAGAAGTTTGAAACATGAAAAATCTGATTATAAATTTGACATTTTTAAGCAGCACTATATACCATAGACAAGACATGGAAACAACCTGTTCATTGACAGATGATGGATAAAGAAGTTGTGGTATATGTATACAATGGAATACTACTTAGCCATAAAAAAGAATAAAATGCCATTTGCAGCAACATGGATGGACCTGGAGATCATCATTCTAAGTGAAGTAAGCCAGAAAGAAAAATACCATATGATATCATTCAAATGTGAAATCTAAAAAAAAAAAAGAAAAGAAAAGAAAAAAGAAGACACTAATGAACTTACCTATAAAACAGAAATAGACTCACAGACATAGTAAACAAACTTATGGTTACCAGGGGGAAAGGGGGTGCAAAGGGATAAACTGGCAGTTTGAGATGTGCAAATACTCTTATATATAAAATAGATAAAAATACAACTTTCTTCTGTATACCACAAGGAATTATATTCATTATCTTATATTAACCTATAATGAAAAAGAATATGAAAACAAATATATGTATAACTGAAACATTATGCTGTACACCTGAAATTGACACATTGTAACTGCTATACCTCAATTAAAAAAAGAAAAAAAACTGACATTTTTATATGGAAAGTATAATCATCTTTAATCTACCATTGTCATTTAAGATGTTAAAACTCTTTTGCCATCAACCCATCTTCTAAAGTAAATACTACTTAAAAAAAAAAAGCTCTAATTTTATCCTTTTGTGTACTAGTGAGAGCCCACTGAAATAATGACTCGGCTCACTCACCAAGGCACTACCTTCTTCCATCTTCTGTGCTTCACAGTAAAAAATGAACTTTCATTCTTAGACAGAGTGACTAGAACAAACTATACAACTAAGTAACACCCACATGTCTTTAACACCCAGGTTGCTCAGAATTTTGAGTACATCACTTTTGAATCCAGTGAAGAATTTTTCTAATATTCTGTTAAATGCAAATACATATGTATAACTTGACTATGTATATGTATATATTTATATCCTGTCTTTCCTGGGAGGGAAATAATCTGGAAGAATTCATTTAAATCTCTTTCTGTTGTTCTAAAAGGTGGTCATTAGTTAACATCTGTCTGTGTTCTAAGGGATCATTAAATTCATAAACGACAGAAAATGGAGAGGGTCAATCTCTTTATTTTTAGTACACTTTTCAGGCATTACTGTTATCAGATAAAAAGTAGGTCAGTTTTCATTTCACATTATCTTTAGATAGTTTATAAGGAGTCTTGTCTTACTAAATAAGCCCACTGAACTGCTGTAACCAGAAACTGAGGCTATAAAGACAAGACAGAGTTTTTCTACTCAGGGAGTTCAGTTTAATAATAATAATAATAAAAAAAGGTGTGTAGTATCATAAACCTAAAGCCATCAAACAGGAGGAAAGGAATTCAAATTGTAAAGGATCAAGAGAGGCAGAAAGAGTGAAGAGGAGAATTTCTTACAAAGTGCTGGAGGTACTAATATCCAAATGATTGTTACCACAATTCTCTTACATATGAATATTTCATATTTTTCAGAATCTTCTCTCATTTCATCCAGCAATATAAAGGCACTGGAGTCAGAATTAAAGTAAGTGATAGTTTTACCAAATACGTGTTTTCAAATGGTATCTACAAGTGAGGAACTCAAAGGAGACTCAGTTACGGTAGGTTTGGACATTACTAGCCCAACCCACACATCTTTAATTTTTGGATTAGAAGAATCCTAAACAAACCACTTTAGAGTTTAGAGTGCTGTTTTTCCTTTTTCTTGGTTAGAAAATAAGAATTTAAAGTATTTTTAAATATATACACAGACTCTCTTTGATTGAACATCCCCTCCACCTTCCTTACTTCTGAGCTTCTTCCTAGAGAATGAACTTCACCTGTATTTCCCTGAATAGAGAGGAGATCATTTGTAACACCCCTCATAGCTTCAAGTGTGGAGTGGGTGATGTCGTATGTGGGAAGGATAATGTCTCGTGAATCCAGAGAGCCACACCAGGAAATGATAGGCAAAGGGCCAGGGGTTTCATTGACTTTTCGATGCTCCAAAGGCCAGTCTCCAAGATTAACGTAAAATTCCAAATCCGGGAGAAGGACCTAAATAAACAAAAGAATGTTTATCAGTGCTGGGAAGACCTCAGTCTTTGGTAGTAAATGCTTCACTTCATTGGCTTTTAAAAAAATATTTCTGAAATTTGAAAATAGTAGAAGAAGAGAGAAGGATGCCTCTCAGTCATCTGCAGTATCAGAAGACCAAAAAAAAAAAAAAAAGAAAAAGAAAACGAATATATGTATGCATATGCATGACTGGGACACTGTGCTGTATACCAGAAATTGACACGTTGTAATTGACTGTACTTCAATAAAAAAAAAAGTCAAGGGTGAGGATGGCATATGACAATTCACTTAACTAGACATTAGCCACCTCTGCTTAGAGGTGGTATTTAAAATTGTTCTGCATTGTAGAGGTGGAAACTGGGTAGAAAGGGGTGAACGTGTGGCTTTAAGCACTCTTGCTGCCAGCTGCTGAAGTGAGAATCTTGCTTTCCTTCACTATCAAACTTGTTTATAACATCTGTGTTTGTCTCAGGGACCCACTACTGCATTTCTACTCCATGGTCAATGTCTTAGGTTAGACTTTCATCATATCTTACCTAGATTGTTGCAATAGTCATTCCTCACTAGATGTTTGATTCTAGCCTCTCATCACTCTAATCTGTCCTCCACATTGCTGCCCAAGTTTCTAAAAACCCAAATTAATGTTACTATTAAGCTCAACAGGACCTTAAGCCTAAGAGACAAGGTCTAAACTCTCCGACTGGAATTCAGGCCCTACAATCTTGCTTCAGCTCCTAGTGGGAGCTGAGTCCCATCTTCCACCTGCTCATGTACCAGTAAACTTTAGGTGACTGAAAATGCTGCCCCTTTTAATATGTAATTCTCTCCACTTGGAATGCTCTCCTATTGTTCACTTGGCCATCTCCTTTCTCACCCTTCACACCCAGATCTGTTACCTCCCCTAGGACCCACCTTCTGCAGGCATTTTAACCCTGGGTACCTCCTCTTCTGACAGACCTATCATGTTGTGGACTGGTTTGTATTCACATCTTGTCCTCAGTTCTGAATAACAAAAACAAGTCCCACCAGAGTGAGCTGTTCAAAGACCAGAGGCGAGTCTCATTTATCTTGTTGTTAAGATTCAGAAATACAGGGCAGAGTGGACTGGTGGTAGCCCAGTAAGAAAGAGCCACCTTTAGGATCAGATGGCCCATAATCTGCTCGTCAGGCGGGCTGCAGGGAAGGTGGGAGGCAACTGCTATTTAAAATAAGAACTGACTGCTGCCCGCCGTTCCATGTACTTGGGAAATTGTATAACTCACAGCAGGAAAGTTGGCTTTTGGTTTAGAAAACTACCTTGATGACCTTTCTGGGTGAGAAAGGTAACAAATGCCCATCCTCACCCTTTACTCTGCATGATCAGGAAGAAGGAAGAACAGAACGCAGTTTGAATTGCTCTGCTGAAAAGGAACTTATAGAGTTTGGCACATGGGGAAAGAGGGGCTGAACAGAGGGATGGGCGGGGTCGGGGGGAGTTGCTGGGGATGTGGAGAAGTCTTCTGAAAGCAAGGAGGCCCCGTCATGTTTCGTAAGAAGCCAAGACCTGAGGACCAAGACCTGAGGTCCAGGGGAAAATTCCCAGAGGCAAGGATAACGGAGAGTCTGATTAACACAGGGGTGTCTATTTTCAAATGTTAGGATTTCTGTTTGGTTTGGTTTTGCGTACTGTGCACTGGCATCAAACAACCTCTCTCTGTCACGCCAACATTCAGCAAAGTGCTCCAATCACACTATTTCTTAGAGCACTTAGGATAAAACAAGGAAAAGTTGTTCTAAGCTCAACTTATTTTGAGTGACAAGAAGAAAACTGGTGTCGAAAGTGAAAACTGAATGTATTCAGCAGGAATGGAGAACTTCAAGAAGTCACCTTGCAGCTGTAAATGCCTGGGAGTTCGTAGAAACCTTGGCAGTATATTACCTGGCCTCCTGACCTGGGGTGGGGGGTCAAGCCATTTAAGTTAAATATTAAAGGAAAGAGAGAGACATAAAAGTAAAGAACTGTATGAACACTCAAGTAGTCGCCAAGTGCACATTTTCAAGCCTGGAATCCATTTCTGTCTTTTACTATTATTATTCTAAGAATTAAGTGTTAGGGGGAGGGTATAGCTCAGTGGTAGAGTGTGTGCTTGGCATGCATGAGGCCCTGGGTTCAATCCCTAGTACCGCCATTAAAATAAATAAATAAATATACCTCATTACCTCCCTCCCCCACTCCAAAAAAATAGATTAAGTAAAAAGTTAAAAAAAAAAAAAGAAATGGAAAAAAAATTTTTTTAAGGAATTAAATGTTACAAATACATAATTAAACTCTATTGTTATTGGAATCAGTGAATTCATTCTCATACCTTTCTTGCCAGTGACAGCAAAATTTCATCTGAGAACATTTTGAAGTCTGTGTATTTCCCTAAAGATCGCCGGTAGATGTGGTTCTTGAGCACTGTGTAATGAACAATGGCGCCCCTCTCATCCCCAAACCTTTCCGGAACTTCGTTTAGCATCTGCTGGAGATTGATGCTGGGGAAAGACGCAAAATCTTTTGCAATCTGTGGCTCATTGGCTGGACAGGACAGAGTTTTCTGCCAGGCCTGGGGCTCCTCTTCTGGGCACTCACAGTACTCATGGTACACCGGTCCTGGGAAAAGCAAAATATGTACACTGCCAGGCTCCACCGACAAGCACTGCAGCACAGGGAGTTGTTTCTGCCCCTGCTGTGGACGTGGAATGACCTCTTGGTAAATCCTAAGATTATCCAGACAGGGCTAATCTGCCCTGAACAAATCAGTGGTAAAGGTAGTTATGTCAGAGACTTGTGCTCCTGCCTTCTGCCCCCCTCTCACTCCACCCCACATCACCTAGGACAGGACCTGCTCTCTCCCAATATGCCACACTCTCAGTTAGTTCACCGAAACATTCATTTCTAAGGAGTTATAAATGACTAATGAACATAAGACAACTTACCTTTTAACCAGGAAAAAGAGAATCTATTACTTTTCAGGCATTATTATGTAGTAGGGCTGGTGATTTGTTGAAACAAGATGGGGTCTCTTCCTCTGAGTCCCTAAAATCATCTCCATCAGCACATCTCAAAGAGGAAGTATGAAACCCAGGGGCATCTTGCAGTGTAATTTGAAAGTGGCCAGACATATGTATAAAACTATTCTGAAGACTCGTTTAAAAAAGAATTTACATCAAAGTTATGTCTTATTTCAAAATATATCCATATTTATTTTAATATAAAATAATTTTTAAAAGTTATTTTATTTTCTTGAGGATTTTTACTTCAGACCATGACAGGTAATAGGGATCAATTTACCCTCCTACCTGAAACTACCAAAAAACAAAACATATGAAAAACTACCAAAAAACAAAACATATCTTTTTTTTTTTTAAGACACTAGACATTAGGCAACGGACAGTGAGTCTGAGAGATGAGAAGCAAATGAGGTGAACCCTACAATAACTGAAGCTCACTGTCTAAGGGAGTTCATATATATATAGAAAGAGAGAGAGAGGAAATTATCCAAGGCAGAGAAAGAACCATCCAGAAAGGTTAGAGGCAACAGTACCCATTGTTCATACAGGGCTGGGAATGGTGCCTATTCCTACAAGCCAGACTGGAAAGCAGCCTAATTCACAGGGATTGGGTAGCGTATGCAGAGAAGTATTGCCTGATTAGTAAGGAATAAACAGCCCTAGACTAAACATGGCTCCAGGTTTGCCTAATAAGTCATAAAAGAAAATTTGAAGATTAAACTATTTCCAAGTAACTCAACTGCACCTTAGAGAAAAAGCTCAAGAGGATAAGAAAACATCAGGCAGTGAAGAATACGCTGGATGGAATTAATGACAAATTGGACATTGCAGAAGAAAAGATTAGTGAAATTAAAGATAGAGCAATAGAAACTATACAAAATGAAATGGGGAAAAAAACCAGTTTTTTAAAATGAAAAGAGGATAATTGAGTTGTGGGATAATTTCAAGCCTAATATATGGGTAATTACAATTCTTGGAGGGGAGCTGGGGTAGAATAGAAAAAAATATTTGAAGGAATAATGGCCAAAATTTTTCTACATTTAATGAGAGCTATAAACCCAAAGATCCAAGAAATTCCACAAACCCCAAGCACAAGAAATGTGAAGAAACCTGCCCCAAAGCACATACTAATCAAATTGCTCAAAGCAACCAATGAGAAAGCCTTCAGCTCACGGAGGAACAAAGATAGGGATGATGGCAGACTTATCACTGGAAATAATGCGAGCAAGAAGACAGTGGAACAGAATATGTCAAGTACTAGAAAACAAAACAAAACAAAAAACTGTTAACCTATACTTCTACCTGGTAAAAATGTCTTTCACAAATGAAGGCAAAAATAAAGACTTTTTCAGACTCTCAAAAGCTGGAAGAACTAATCACCAGCATTCCCACATTAAAAGAAAGATTAATGGGAATCTTTTAGGTAGACGGTAAATGATATTAGATGAAAATATGTATCTATGCAAAAGAATGAAGAATACTGGAAATGGTAGCTACCTGGGTAAATACACAAGATTTGTTTTTTGCTCATTTGAATCTCTTTAAATTACCAAGTGTTTCTTTCCCTTAAAAATATCAAGTTAAACTGAGCTCCAGGAGGTACATATATCATGTTCCCCTGGTGCACATTGACTTTGAGGTCACTGTGAAAGCCATGGGGTCCACCCCTAAGGCTGGCTCTTGATTACATAATAATTACTCACCTTTCAAAATATAGGGAGACTGAGCGACATGTTCATCACCATAAAGGACCTCTATCTTCAGCCCTTCATTGACACTTTCATACATTCTATATCGCATCAAAAATGTCCCATCATTCCTGTCCAAAGGTTTAGGGACGTGAATCCGAACTAACTCTTTGGGCGAGAGAGATTTGATTACTACTTTGAATAGCGTTTGACCTGAAAGAAAAAAAATTATAAGTGATTCTACTATTTCATAGTTATTTTGTTTTACCAATTATTGGATAGTTGTCTCTACACAGAAGTTACTTTTTTCTTTACCATCGGTGGTAAAATTATTTCAGTTTGGAAGATCCTTGAGGCCAGGAACTATGTTTGGTTTATGTCTTCAAAACCAAGGATCTGATTCAACATTTGATTCCTTAGTCAGTCAGTAAAGATTTATTGATTGAACAAAATCATTGAATAAAAAAAAATTTTTAAAAAGCAAGGGAGAGACAAACTTTTTGCCTATTTGACGTCTTCTCCTTTGTGTGGGTTTAAAGCTCAGGTAATTAAAAATCCATAAATTTTTAGAACGACAGCACACTAAGGCAATCTAACTTTCTCCTTGTAAAATATGCATAAGTTTTCTTTGTAAATCATTTTAATACCCAACAACCCTTAACTCTGAGGAAATCTCCCTTTTATAAACCCAAATTTCAAGTTATATTCCTAAGTCCATTTCCTTAAGTAGAGAGAGATTACAGCTAGTTGCTAGACTCTACAAATAGAACACACACACACACACAAACACACACACTCATATGTACCTTTGTAAATACCAGAGTTTACTTCTCTAAGCTTGTTTCCTCAAGATGAAATTAAATGTTATCCTAGGATGATCTAAGATCCCTTTCAGCTCCAAAATTCTGTGGGTTTTCTGTTCCAGGATAAAGCATACCTAACTTAGCAAATTTTCCCTTCTCTTGGCAGTATATTAGCTAACTTTTTAGGCTTTGAATCAATACTGTTGCTGGAATAAATGTTGGGACTTCTTTCTTCAGAGAGGACGGTGGAGGTACCTGCACCCAGTGCAGATCTGACCCTCAGGAGCTTGACAAATAAAGATCAGTTCATGTTCTCAGCACAGTTAATCACCGTATCAAAGGGAAATGTTTAAAAAAAAAGTGGCGAATCTTGCGAAACACACAGCCCTAGTAACAATGAGCTGTGATCAGGGTATTCTTTCATCTCATCTTATCATATTTCATAATATTCAATATCAAGCATATTTAATACACATTTTTGAAATTACTGAAGAAAACAGTTTGTTTCTCCAATTTTTGGTTTCTAAATCTAGTGAGTGATCTTTCTTTTGATCTTCATGGGTTTCACTTTTTCTTGTGGGTCAAAAGAAATGTTTCTGAGTCTCTTCAACTTAGTAATAGTGATACAGTATCTGACATCTTGCTGCTAAATAATTAAGTACCAAACACATACATTTCAGGATTCTTGAAACAAGTGTGGTGAAATTATGAAAGAAATTTGCTAAAATAAATGAATTATAATAGATAAATGTAAGGGAAGTTGTAAAAAAAAAAGTAATAATTAAACGTGAAATTATCATAAATATTGGCCAATTACTGAAATGCTTCATGAAACACTTATTGCTTTATGTTATTTCCACTTGGTTTCAGAAAGGCAATGTGGTGCGGTAGACTGAAAATTCAGGAAGGCAGAGCTGGGGACTAAAAAGCTATTTCCATCAGTGGTCTCCCTAAACTGAAACAGGACAGAAAAGTTTTCTTGTCTCCTGATTAAATAATGCTATTCTCCGTATGTTTACCATTTTAAATAAATAAAACAGATAGAAGACAAGCGTATTAATGACTATGTGATTTTTTTGGAAAGAATTGGATGTGCAGAAGAAAACTATCTCCAAACACTTATTTTTAAAACTTTTTATTATTTTTATTTCATTATTTTAATTTATTTTTTAAAATTGAAAATATTGCATTAGATCTCTGTGGTCTCTTTCAGTTATAACTTTTTTTGTTTCTGAAGTTGCATTTAAATTATTCAAAATGTGTGTATAAAAACATAGCCATTGGAAATACATTTTTAAATGTTCCATTATTTTTATTGTGATCTTTCATGTCTCTCTCCTTGTTGGCATGAAATTAATGTTAGAATCAATGCAAAATAATAATGATCAGGACTGAAATAGAAATAATTCTAACAACATAAAAGAGAAAATGAAAAGAGTGAAATTTCAAATTGCTTCAAAGGGAAAGAATGTGAATTCTCATTTGCCTTGGGGGGTAATAAAATGGAACAGAATCAAAGCTCAGCTTGAGTTTTTCTACTCCCCAGATTCAGACTTCTTTAGGAAAGACAGCCAATGGAAAGAGAATGCTGTGACTAAGGAGAGAAAAGCCTGGCAGTATCAAAGTCTTACATCATTGGAACCAGAAATGTTGAAGGCTTTTGATTTGAAAAGAAGTCAAATACATTTAAATTCACTTACTTAGCCAGGGAGACTGTGCCAGTCCCTGAGCTTGAGATTTTCATATGCATTTTCTCTTATTTATTTCCTCCGGGAACTTCTGAGGTAGGTATTTGTCACCCCATTTTACAGATCGGGAAGCCAAGGCTCCCTTGAACAAGTTAAGCAACTTGCCCAAGGTTTCATACCTCTGAGCAGCATAGCCAAAATCTGCACACAGCTTGAGTCTTTCTTCTTTCAAAGCCCATTCTGAATCCAACTCATTACGTTGGTAACGTTAACATGTAAGTTCCCAGAATTCATAGTTGGAAGAATAACCTTTGGCACTGCCGGTACCATGGAGTCAGCACCTCCCTTGTTGTTCAGAAGTCTATTAAGGCCCTCTACAGCTGCAACAAAAGTGTCGACTCCACCTGGCCAAGGGAATGGAGTCCCATAAGGATAACCTGTTGTGCCTTGAGGCTAAATGGCAAATCCTCCCAAATGTCTGGCTGCCTGCTAGCCACGTACACTCTCCAGGATCCCACTGAAAGCTGGTTCACAATAATCATATTACTAGCAACTTAATAAAAGGTAAAGAGCATTGAACTCGGTATTAAAACGGTCAAGCGTCTGGTCTTGGCTCTGACACTTAACAGCTGTGGGCCACAGGAAAGACATTTATTTTCACCAACCTTGTTTCTTATGAGAAAAGTGAAGAGAATAGTATCTATCCTACCTGCCTTACAAGATGATTGAGGAGAACAAATTAAACAGCGCACAGTTGAAAACACTAAAGTGCTACACAACTGTAGGTAATTTTATGAAGATGTCATTCCTGATAAAGGTAGAGAACTGAGTAGAACATGAGTACTTGTACTGTAAAATCTTGACATACGCCAGTCACCCTCCATCCATCCCTTCTTTCTTTTCTTCTACAGTATCCACTGAGCGTCACTGCCAGGCATCGTGTTAGACGCTGGGTATACAACAGTGTCAACAGATTCTGCCTACATTAATAATAGAAGGCAGTACTCAATTTAAGTCAGAGGTTAGTGAAAATGAAGACATAGATTTTTTTTCCGCATCCAAGGTCACAGACCACCGAGTTTTTGTCTGTGGACCCTTGTTTGAAATCCTGTTTCATAGCTTTCAAGTTCACACGTTTGTTACCTAGGTACCTGGAGATAAGCAGCATAATAATAGTGTTCAGATAAATGCAATACTGTTAAATGGGAGTGGTAATTAATAAGGGAATCTTGGTAAGTCATGTAAGATGGTCTATAGCTTGAGAAAAATTTGACTCTTTTCAATTAGTTCTTGGAGAAAGAAATTTTTCAGAATTTGCAAGTGCATGATGGTGGCAGAAAATGTAAGAAACTGATTGAGTGAGATTTTCAGAAGTAAAGGGTAGCTTTTTTTTTAAGTAGCTTTAAGCTTTGTTTATCATTGTATTACTTAATTATTTTATTTTGGTGGGGAGAGGTAACTAGGTTTATTTATTTTTAGAGGAGGGACTGGGGATTGAGCCTAGGACCTCGTGCATGCTAAACAAGCGCTCTACCACTTGAGCTATACCCTCCCCCAGGGCAGCTTTTTAAATGGAAGCTAGAAATCAAGTGTCCTGAAAAGAAATGAGGAGAATCTAAAGGAATGAAAATGAGGTTGTCTGAAAAGACTTGGTGAAAGTCTTTAGTCTGTTCATTTATTCCTTATGCCTTTTCTCCTGATTATAAAAACATTATGATCATTTTGGGGGAAGATTTTGGGGGGAAAAAAAGAAGAGTGAAAAAAAATGTATCACTCTCTCTCTTGCTATGACCACTGATAACATCGATGAATGAGGTACAGGTTTATTTATCTATGTTAAAGTTGGAGTGAAACTATATAATTTGTTTCCTGTTCCATCCTTAACCCAGTACAAGCATTGTTAAACAATCTTTTAAAACACAACTTTAAATTTTTTAAAATTTTGATTGTGGGGAAAAAAACACATAAAATTGACCATCTTCACCATTTTTAAGTGTACAGTTTAGTAGTGCCAAGTATATTCACACGTCTGTGCAAGGACTCTCTAGACCTTTTTCATTTTGCAGAACTGAAACTCTGTACCCATTCAACAACTTCTCTCTTCCCTCTTCCATCAGCCCCTGGCAACCCCCATTCTACTTCCTGTTTCTATGAATTTGAGTATTTTAGATATCTCCTATCAGTGGAATCAAAAATATTACTTTTAAAGGTTGTTAAATATTCCATCGCATGAATGTACTATACTTCGTTAAGCAATCACTTTACAGTTGGCTATTTAAACTTACTGTAATAAATAATCATAATCCTGCAAGAATATCCTTGCCCATAAATCTTTGACCACATTCTGATCATTTTCTCAGGACTAGAAGTCAGATTCCCAGATTAAAGGGCATAGACATTTTTCATAAATTATTTTTTAATTATATTTTCTAACTGTGGGAACTCATATTTTTGCACATTAGGTTTGAAACGTTTAAGACTCTTGATATGTTTGGAAAATTACTTTCCAGAAACATTTGATCATTTGTGCTCCTGAGACCAAGCAGGACCCTGTGGGGCACCCCCCAACCCCTCCTGTTTAAAGAAAAATTGAAGTCTCCCAGGCCTCCCTGAGTCAAAAAAGAGCAGGCTGAAGCAGTGGATGATGAGAACCACAGAGTCACAGACTCACTGTCTGATGCACATCCTGAGGTGTTTTTACAGATATTGTAACCGCCACCAGAGGGGAAGAGCTAAACTGGGCGATGACCAGGTCTCTCCTCTAGTTTCCCCTTCAGCTATCTTGCAAACTGTTACTGGGGCAGTTGTCCCCGGGATCATACCCTTGTCCCTCCCTCACTTGGAAACCAATTACTCCTATCTAAGTCTCAGGAGGAAGCTGCACAGCGGGAAAAAAAGAACTGGTTACAACCAACTAGGCTCAAGATGGTGGAGGATTTGACCTCCAGTAGACCTTGAGCCTCACAATATGCTCACTGTAACTCATTAGGATGCTAAATGACATACCTACCAGCACCTTGACAGTTGATGATTGCCATGACAACAACCAGAACAGTGTATACAAGGACTGGAAAAACAGTAATTGGCTCCAGCATACCCAGAAAGAGAATATGATGGCAAAGTCTCCAACGAAAGCCCACGTGGCCTGACCTAGAGTGGAGCTTTCTCAACCAGCCATCTTGGCTGATGCTCCCCATTCAAGGGCTTTCTTGCCTTTTCCCCTTTGGAGCAATAAAGCAGCCTTTCAATCTGTTCCTCTGCCTCTGCTGAGAATTCTTCCTCCACCTGGGGGATGAGGGTGGTGGCAAGGACCCAGACTTTTGGTGGGCTTTCCAATTTGGGGCTCTCTCTATCCACTAACACCCCCCCACCCCAGCAGAGGATGAAGGCCATTGTCTGAGAGAATCCCATTGCTCCCTTAACAGCTTTGCGTACTACCACTTAAAAAATACTTGCCATTATTTTTAGATTAAAAAATGAAATTTTATTCAAATTTATAGTTCTCTCATTAAAAGTAAGATTA